ATTTATACATAACAGCTTAAAATAACAAGTTTCTGTTATTTTTTGACTTTAATGTTAAACACCTAAAATATCATACTTACGCATTGTCCAAATTGTAGTAAAATCATAAAAATCCTCATATTTATTTCTTAATAAAAAATAATGTACTTAAAATATAAAATTTATAAGCAAATTAAACTCTGTTTTAATTTTTAGAATATGTTTATTATATTATTAATAATTATTAAGAAAATAATTATTAAAGAAATCAATATTACTAATTAAAAAAAATAATGAGCTTAGACAGTCTTTATTTATTTAAGTAGTTGAAAAGCACTTAATATTTCTAATCACCAAAGTTCTAATTAGTCTAATAACACAAGCTTAATCAAGACAATTTTCTTTAATTCAGTTATAATTAATAATTATTTTTATTTACCATGCATTATTAATGCAAAAAATACCCAGAAATCCGACAAAATAAAACCACTTTCAAACAATTTTACGCAAAAAAAATATGTATTAAAAATTAAATAATTGAATTCTAACGCCATCGCCACCGTACACCGCGATCGACCCACACAGGCGAAAAAGCTATTATTTTCCAACTACGCTTATCTCGACCGCCGCCCATTATGCTCGTAACAGGTTAAAAATCAATGTATCTAAAACAACTGCTCATTTTCTATACGTTATTCCCAACCTGTTGCGGACCCAGCATCGACGATCGACCGATGCAACAGCGTTACTTTCCCACTCCGGTTATCTCGACCGCCAGGCGTTATGCCCGCAACAGTTGCAACTGTTTTAAAAAAGCTGCTTATTTTATATACTGTTATTTTTAATCTGTTGCAAGCCCATTGCATGACCTTCTTAACATCATTAATTTTTTGAAGGTTTATTGGAATTTTATCTGATGAATATGCAGAATTTTGCCGTAGAGAAGGTATTTGTGATGAGCTTCCAACCAAGAAAGAATGAAAAATCAAACCGTCTATACATTCGTACGCCTTGATACAACCGATATATTCTGAAGAAAATATTAGCTGGCTAAATTTTGAAACCAGGAGCTGAGTTTTCTGAGCCTTTGGTATCTTCAATTTTGCCGATTCTTATGAGATTGTGTTTTTTTTGTAGCATATAGGCCACCAATTTTTGTAATCTTGAATTTCCTGGCTTGGTCTGGATATTATCCTGACAGCATATTTAAAACTGACACTGGCTTTTGGAATCAGACTATAGTACTCGTCGGGAACATACATTCGATCGTATTTTTTCAATAGCCGTTTCACTCGCCCAAATTGCCTTTCGCAGGGTAAAAACGAATGCCCGCGAACTGGAAAATACTGGACGATCTTATCCAATTTTTTTGCGTCGGTGAGAGATAAAAGGTATCTAAAAAGCCATTAATCCTAATCATTCTCAGAGGTTTATGAATATTTACCGACCTTAAAACTGTATGCTTCTTATTTTGTCCCGGGCACCCGTCAGAAAATATATGAACTTCCTTGATTTCTGGCGGTACGAAATTTTCAAAATAATCGTTTAAAAAACTACATACTTCGTTTGGCTCGTTCTTACCATGGCCTTCATGATAACAATAAAATAGTGCCTCCTTGGTCCTCAAATTATGTATGCAAAATGAATACATCCAGAGCTGTCGGTAGTAGAACATCTCCTGTACCGGTATATCAGGTAAAGGCACATTCTGCATATAGCCAAAGACAACTTGTTCATTTCGGAAATCATACAACTACAGGACATATGTTGTTTTCGAACTGGCCGTAAAATATGCAGGCCTTGCATTTAATGCTATGAAACAGTGACGCGTGTTGGTTTCGCGCAGACCGATGAGTTTTAATGTAAAAATCATCATGACGGCAACATCTCATTTTACACCAAATATGGACTTAGCTTGTTTTCGAAACGACCGATTTAATTATAAAATTTCAAAAAAGGAATACATTAAGATTTTAAAATATAGTAACTCAAGTTACTATTATTTAATTATAGTAAATATAGTAAATAAAGTTGCTAATTCTATTTGAAAAAAATAGTAACAAAATTTGCTAGATTTTACGAAACGTTTATTGTTACAGTAATAATCATATACAATTTAAGTAGAGCGACTTACTTTATTTTGAGTAGGTTTACAAACATAGAAACACAAAAATATTACGAATCAATAATATCGCCATGTTTTGTTACTAAAATAAAATAAACTAACAAATTAAATATTATGCCTTTTCTAAAACTACAAAAAATAAAATAATTATTATGAAATATTTTAACTAAAAGGTAAAGTATTCTATGGTAATTTATAAAAGCTGTCAACGTTCTGAAATGTTACACAGATCTGGGTTGATCATTGGTTGGCAAGACGGTGATGATGGTGAAGACCACGGTGATCATGGTGAAGACCACGGATCATTAGTTGGCAAGAATTGCCAAAACAATTTACGTCGTTCGTCTAGAAAAGCTGGGCATAAGGACTTCAATATTTTTTCTTTTTTAGAAGTGTTTATATCCAAGAGGTACAGAAAATGGGCGTTCGGGAAAATCAATACTAAACATTTTTTTTTAAATCCACCTCAACAAAATTTTCATCTGAAAATGACTCTTTATAAAATAAACTTTTAGATCCTTTTCTAAATTGAACAATCCTAATTGATTCTAATAGTGGAATATTATTATTTTTTCGAACTTTGCAGCCATCTTGAAATGAAAAAAAATCTGAGAAGTTCAAAACAAGACATTTAGTATTCTTAGATGACTTGTCAATTATTTTTACCAATTGTTCAAAATCATAAATATTTGGATGTTTTTTCATTTCAGTGCTTATATTACCATGCACGGAATCCGCAGCCATAAAAGATTGCCCAGGTTCAAAGTATTTTATGGTTATTTGACTCGGACCCCACTGTGTATTTACAATACAGACAAATGACGAATACAGAGTCCAGTTTTTATTTTGGGCAGAACAATTGTCTGTAATTAATTAATTAATTGTTCTTCATCACATTAACTGCATCATATCTGGCGCTCCAGCGGATATCAATCAAGCGCTTTACAATTTGCTTCGTCACAGTAGTCAGGGCATCCCAGCTATAAGTCGACGAAGAAAAAAATACAAATATGCGCTCCAAGGTACCAAAAAACGTCATTGAATCAATGGCAACCGATGCAGCATGTACTCCAACCAGGTTCAGGGAATGAGTTGTGCATGTCACGAACTGTGCCTTCGGATTCACCTCTTTAATCCGTGCTTGAACTCCACTGTGTACACCAGACATAACCGCTGCGTTGTCATACCCTTGTCCTCTACAGTCTTGTATATCCAGTCCGTCTAGCGTAATTTTGTCTACAATCATTTTTGTATGTTGCTCTGCACTTTTTCCCTTCGCTTCTATAAAGTCTACGAAAGACTCTACTATGAGGCTAACGGATTACACAACGCCGGATGACATGATACACAAAATCCATCATTAATTGATGGCAATGGAAATTTTAATGCCTGCGTACCACTGAAAATGTTGAATGGTTTTGCTGAAGACTATCATAAAATTGTGATGAATGTAAAACAAGAACTAGTTCTCATACGAAGCAATTCTGATTTGAATGCCATTCAATCGTCTGCAGAATCTAAGGACACCTATAAGGTCACTTTGAATAAAGTGTTGTGGAAAATGCCCCATATATCAGTTAATGATAATCAAAAGTTACGATTACTAAAAAATTTTGAAAACAATAGAGATTTGCCGACTGCCTTTAGGAGCTGGGAACTGCATGAATATCCAGAATAAGTAATAATATAGTAAAAAATATGAGTCGATTTCAGCATTGAAACTTGATCAATTTAAAAGTATATTTAAACTCAGAAGTATATCTTTATGACAACTTAAATTTAGATTTCACTAATAATAATAGATATGCAGTCCTATATGAAATGTACACTCGGTTCCAAAAATCATACTACTATAAACCGTTTAGTGAACCAACCTACTATACCATTCATTTCAAGAACAATACTTCTAGTGGTCATTGTTTACGACAAGGAGAGGATATTTTAAAAGGTGGTGCAGTCAATATTTGTATCGAATTTGAAACAGGCGAGACGAGTCAATACCTGCGAAGACTGCTACCTATTGTCTAATTTTACATGATAAATTAGTTAAGGACAACCTAGTACAAAAGCAGTAAGTAAAACTAACCGGTACTATAAGGGTATTCTAAAGAGCAAAATACTCGTAGTCGGTCTAAGCAAACAGACCATAAGCAAAATGTTTATTATTGATGTACAAGGCTTTCAGTATGGACCGGGAAATTTTCTTTGCAAGGAATTGGCAATAGTCAACGTTAACAATAATGGAAATTTGGCTGCACATAAATTTATAAGTTATCGATTTGAATTGAACCAGTACAATTCAAAAGTTAAAAATCATATGAAATGAGTAACTTCCAATTTACATAGGGGGCTTCGATTTTGATGTTTTATATGAAGAAGAAGGAAAATGTTTACCATACAAAGATATTTCAAGATTTATTAAAAAATACGTGTGTTCAGAAGTTGCTGCTGTTAAAGGGCTGGAAAAGAAGCAATGGTTGGAAAAGTTTGGTTTGTCAAATTGATTTATATGAAGAAAGAAGCCCATCTGATGAGTTGAAAAATGTATTCAAATCTTACCATTGTTTAAAACATTTAAATAGTAATATTGCGCAGTTGAAAATGTACATTTCTTATACTAGATATTGCTACATTTATTGCAAGAAATGAAATAAAAGACTAAAAATGTATAATACAGATTTTTTTTATTTACGATAACTAGAATTACATTTAAACAATTTTTTACATTTACATTCTTCATTGCTTACTTTGACCGACTTTCACCAGAACCATCACAAGCAATACATTTATCCACCTCATCTACACCTTCGTTCTCCTCCTCCTCCTCCCCCGATGTGTAGACATCTATAATTTCTAATTTTGTTTTTTGTTTAATTTGTTGCTGCTGCTGCTGCTCCGTATCGTCGAGATCTTCATCAATTAAATTAAATTTGTATCTCTAATTGCAAAAAAAAGAAAAATAAATGGTACCTACTGAAATAACTGGTTCATCACCACAACCGCGTATTTCATGGGAAAGTTAATTTTGTCTTGCGTCAGCACTACTATAGTTGTGGGTGTTGATGCTATGGTTGGTTTGTGTGCTACACTTTATTAATGTGTTAAACTGCACAGCACTCTGTTTAAATATTAGTTGTCGGGACGGAAAAAAAAATGCGCGCCAATACATTTCCTATAATTATGTTAAAATGGTGCCGTGTGCCTCTTGTAGTTCGCCTTTGACGCAAATTATTTTTTATAAATAATTGCATACATTGATCATTATTCCAAGTAACAAAAATAAATTAGCATTTGAAGTAAACAACTTTAATGATAATTACTAGAATGAGGAAGTTGCATACATTTTTGTTTCCATGGAAAATGTATTTAAATTATAGGTAAATAGTCTAGAAGTCTGTTTCTGTAAGTAAAACTTGTTTAAAATAAATACCTAGAAAGTAATTAATAATAGAAAATTATCAAAATATTGAATTTATGAATCCTAGCGAAAACGCTCTGTAATTGGTCAGTAATTCGTGACGTCAGGATCCGGTACTTGTCAGACGTGAACGAAGGCTGCTGTTATTAATCTCGATTCTCGTGTTGTTTACGCCGTAATATTCGCTTGTGTTTGTTAATTTCTAAACTTTTGTTAATTTGAATAACTTACTTTACTTGGTACATTCATAATGGCTTCAGGATCAGAACCGCAAAAAAGAGTTCCTGAACATAAATATTATAAATGCTGTTTAGTGCCCATGTGTAGTTCCATAACAATAACTTGCCCTAACAAATTATTTGTTAATGTGCCAAAAGATGAAAAAGTGAGGAAAAAATGTTGCTTAGCAATGAAAAGGGATCTGAAGAGAAGTCCAATTAGTGGAAAATCTACTTTACATATTTGTGAAGAATATTTTAATGTAAGTGAGGTTATCGATGAATATTTAAATTTTTAACCTTTATTTAAGTAAAAATTTAAATACAGTTTCTATGCACTGATTAAACCTGTTCTTACTAATTTCGTTTAATTGATATATTTTTTTTAATTTCAGTTGGTGCAAGACATGGAAAATTATATGCAATATAAGTTAATGGGCCTTCAAGTAAAAAATCTGAAGTGGAAAGCAGGGGTGATTCCACATATATTTACGCGCCAGATAACAAAACAAACGCCACCTCAAGAAAGACACCTTCCTGAAAAAAGAAGACGTCTTCAACTCGTAATGGAAGCAGAGGTAGAAGCTGCTGGGCCATCCTCGTCCACTGAAACTAAAGATAAAGTAGAGGAGGCTGAAGAAATTGATACTGTAGAAACTACTGTAGTTCCAGCTGGTACTGTTGAATCCGTTTCCCAAACCATAGATAAAGCCATACAAGTAAACCTACGGTCAAAATTTCGAAGTAAGGCAACTACCACAGAGCAGCAAGTATGTACTTCTATAGGTGTGTCACCATAAAACTATCAGCTATATCAGTTGGAACATCTCCATTAAAATCCCACAGTTTAGTGAAAACAGTGTCTTTTGCTGAGAGTACGGCTTCCTCTCTCATAGAGGAAGATAGTGAATATAATTTAAGTGGAATTAGTTCAAGTTCTATGGAGTTTATAAGAGAATTACAGGAAACTGAGTTTAAGCAACACATGCTAAAAGGAACAATATGGAGTATTGAAGGAGACCCTAAACTATACCTAGGCTTACCAGTAGAAAGTTATCATTTAATAAAGATGTTGGCTACAAAAGCTTCACTACCCTTAACAGATATATTCATAACGTTGAAAAAGATACGTTTAAATTATTCATTTGCCATCTTAGCAAAAGATTTTGGTATGTCAATAAGCAATTCAAGTAGGATTTTTGCTAAAAGTGTTATGATATTATCTAAATTCCTACAACAGTTAATATATTGGCCAGATATCAAAAACATTCGATACCATTTACCTATTCCATTCAGAGCGAGGTATGGAAAAGCAGTTTCAGTCATTGATTGTTTGGAAATTCAAATAGAGAAACCTAGTAATCCAGTACATCAGGCATTAACATGGTCCGAATACAAGAAGGGGAATACTATAAAATATCTAATATCCTGTACACCAGATGGACTAATTTTATTCATTTCGAAAGGCTATGGGGGAAGAGCTTCAGATGTTATTATCTTGGAAGATTCTGGATATGTTGAACATCTACAGCCTGGGGTAGCAGTAATGGCAGATAGAGGATTTAAAAATATTACAAACATATTACAACAAAAAATTGTATACTTATAAGGCCACCTTCAGTATCTGCTGCAACTCCAAGTTCTCCTTATGAAGTGAAACAATCTAAACAGATCGCTGCATTAAGGGTGCATGTAGAAAGAGTTATAGGAAGACTACGGGAGTTCAACATGCTGCTACCAAATGCTTGTATTGATAATCATTTAATTTCTATAATGGACCATGTGATAGTATGTGCTTGTGCCATTATAAACTGTCAAAAACATTTATTTAAATTGCAATTTTAACAAGTAACAACATATTTGTATTGGAATAAATATTTTATTTATTTATTTAATAAATATCGCATGTAACATTCAATATGTGTGTTTTTATTTTTAATTATAATTATTTTTAACAATACTGAAAATATTATTTTTCCAAAAATTATTACATTTTTCTAGTAAATCTAAAACATAAGCTTTATTAAAGTCAACATTTACAATAGTAATATGCTTTGAGTTTTTAAAATCTTCTTTAGCAACCACAAACAAAGATTTATTTTTCTTTAAACAATACATTTGTAACTGCACCTGTGCCATATATTTTGCTGTAATATCAAGACTCGATGTTACATATCTTTTGTAAGTCTTTTCAGAAGTTGGACATTTAATTTCGACCAAAAAATCTTCAGAAACTCCATCAGGTGTTGCTCCAATGAATGGTTGTTGTACAATGGAATGGTTGATGTACAAGAACTAATCCACATCGCTGAATTTTCTGTTTTGTTTGTTTTTCGACTAGTTTTAAAACCTCCGCTTCAAGTCTTCTTCCCCTAGCCATGGCAGCAGTGTCCTTTAATTTCGATGCTCCCAAAATAGATTCAATCAATGATCCATCTGTAGTTTTGCAATGAGCTACATCATAAGCCTTTAAAGCAGTAATTCTCAGGTATCGTAACTCATGCCATAAAGCACTCTCTGCTTGATCTACTGTGGCTGTGGCAGCATCCCGGCAAAGATCTTCTGTCATTTTTGACCCACAATATGTGAAAAAAGCATCTGCTGTTGCGTCCCCTGATTCCAACATATATTCATTTAGTAATCTATGTAGTGACAATTTTTCAAAATTGTTGTTTTTGAAATATCTCATCAGCACAGTGTCTGTGTTGCCCAACTCTAAACTATGATTCACAAATGATTGTAAAAAGTCGGTGTCATCTATACTCTCCAGTGGGTTGCATTTACCCAAATCTTCTGCCTTCACAAATTTCAAACCAGTACCAACATCAACAAGAGCAGACTTTTTCCAGTAGCACTCAGTTGAAGTTTTTGGTGGTTCTTCACTACGTCTGTGGAGCCAAGTGAGTAAGGCAACTGCATGTTTGCATCCCCCTATAATAAATAAAAACATGATATTATAAATAAATATTTTTATCTGGGGGCACAGTCAATAACAGTATTTTTGTATATTTATTTTTGTAAGTTACAACTGTATATCAAAGTTTTTTAAAGTATATTTCACAAGTGTAAATAATGAGAATACACAATACTATAAAACATTTATAAGTAAACCAATAAAACAATATAAGAATCTTAAAATCATAATACAGAAGCAATAATCTCGATGCCTGGAGAATATTCTTTGCAATAGTCGAATAATTATTTTAATAAGACCACTTGGGCAGATTTCTAAACTTAAAAATTGGATTTTGGTGCATAAAAAAACATTTAAAGTGAGTTCCTTTATTGATACACTTCATACACAACAGTTTGCGACGAGGATAAAATACGTACAGGAATTTCAATATTCAAGTATCTCAAATTTTCGTAAAATTGGAGATACAAAATGGCGTCCAGCGAGGAAGGAATGCCGAAACTATACATTCCATACATAGAGGAAAGGTGCCTAATATGAGATACATTTTGGTCTCATAATATTATGCCGTATTTCCTAATATTATTATGAACGCATTGTGAAATACATTCGTTGGGGTGTTTATAACGTACTTCACACAGTGGTAAATAAAAAAATATACTAGAATTTTAATAATCTTGAAATAAGTTAAGAAAGGTATTTTTTACATTTTCAATTTTGGGGCTCGTAATATGAGACAGTAAAGGTTCTTAATATGAGATGGTCTCATATTAGGAACCAACTGAAAACAAGTTTGATTTAAATAGATATACATAGATTTTTTTTTTAAAGTGTATTTCTTATATGCACAAAATAGAAGTTAACAAAACAAATTAAAAGAAATGGCGTTACTCAAATAAAAGCATTTTTCCCTTTTTCTTTTTTTTTGCAAAGCGGACACGTGAAGGTATTGTCACTAACTTCGCCACACTCTTCATGGGTACAGCGAAAACAACCGGTACACTGAGCCCATTTTTCTATATGCGTATCTTCGGAATATCGGCCATGACAAAACTGACACTCGGCGTCATCATAATCTTCTTCACTCAATTCACTGTATTAAATTTCCGATTTGTCTTACTCCGAACTGCTTGACACTGGTACCTTCTTAGATGTTTTCTTCGCTTAATATTCTTTTTTGGTACAGCATTTATTTTTTTATTCTTCTTCTCTATAGCTCCTTCTAAATAGGTTTTATATAGGTTGACGTAATAAGACTTGCTGAACCCTTTCGTCTACTGGAATTATTGGAAGTCCCCGAAATTGATGGTTAGGTTAGAACTTAGTCAGTTAGGCTGAATATCTTGGGGAGACACCGACCGCACTTGGCTTTTCCGATGAATTAAATTAGGAGCGATACAGTGGGTAATATTAGTAACACAGCGTCCGAAAATTAAATGAACGTTTCTATTAAATTTTTACTATTTTGGATTATCATACATATAATGAAAAAGTGTTTACAAATGTTTAAAATTATTGTTATTAAGTTTACAATGCAGTTTTTTGCATAAAAGTACTACAGTGCCATCCTAAGAGTTCGCAACAAATGAGAAATTTTTTTATTATTAATATATTGGAAAAAAAAATACGGCAAATCAACTCAGCATAAAAATGACAAAAAAACACACTATGACATATGTCACGTGACAACTGTCATGGCGGCAAATTTAAAAATTCTACCTTAAATATACGAAAAGTGAGGTTAGGCGTTCCTTTATCAAAAAATGTCAATCAGAAAAGTTGTTCACGATTCAACTTTACCCCTATGTGCAAATTTTCACAAAAATATGACGACTTTTAAAAAATATCTGAAAATTCTATTTTTTTTAAATAAAAATTTTTGCTATTGGTTTACATAAAATAAAGTATAGTTTATTTGTTGTTTTTATTTTATTTTACGTACAGTAGAACTTCGGTAATCCGGACAGATATAGTTTAGGTGGTCTTCCGGATTGGTGAATTGTCCGGATTACCGAAGTTATGCTGATAATGAAACACAGGTTAATTTTTTAGCTTTATTTACATATCTATATGTACCAACATTAACTCAAGTGTTTTACAAATAATATGTGTATGTACGTATAATAGAAAAAGTTTAAAACATATCCAACTTTTGCGGCTATCTGGCGAAAAGGAATATGTACGAGTATTTAAAGGCAAAAAGTCACCAATTTTTTTTTGTATAAGGTTCTCATTGTGAAGCTTTCTTGATAGTTCTAAATTTTTTTTCAATAAAAGGACTTCTTGATAATTCAATTTGTTTTCTTCTGCCCACTGCACGCATTTTGAAAAACACTGTACTGCTTCTATGTGTTTGATTTTTGTAGGAATGTCAATAACATCCTCCTCTTCTTCATCGTTTGTGTTTGATTGTACCGATTCAATTATTTCCTCGTCGCCAACATTATCAACAGCTATTTCGTCTCTTCCTGTCGCCCAGTTTCTTATTTCTTCATCATTCAGTTCACTTTCCGGATCTATAACTTTTAACATTTTTTTCAAGTCGTTGAGTTTCAAAGCTTCTTCAAGTAGGCTTTTTCTTAGATCGGCCAGCAAAATATCATCTTCTTCATCTGACACCAATTGAGGCCATATTCCATCCCAGCTTTTTTGAATATTCTTTTCGGTTATGGACTTCCAAGCAGAGTCGAGAGTATTCACTGCATCCAGAAGACTAAATTTCTTCAGCAGTTGCATTGTGTCTTTGTTTTCTTGTGATATAATGTGGGTCAGCAATTGCCTTCTGTAAGAAACCTTGATATTTTGTATCAAGTTCTGATCCATTGGCTGAACTAATGCAGTACAATTAGGAGGCAAAAATACCACTATGAAATTTGGATTCGTATTGAGCTCTTCTTCGGGTGGGTGTGAAGGCGCATTGTCAACAAGAAGCAGTGCCCTGCATGGCTTATTGGCGTTACTCAGATATTGTTTCACTTCAGGAACAAAGATTGTTTTAAACCACTCAGAGAATATGTTTCGGGTCATCCATCCTTTGGTACTAGCCTCGTATTTCACAGGCAACTGTGCATTTTAAAACTCGGGGGTTCTTAGATTTACCTAACACAAGTAACGGCAACTTATGTGTGCCTGATGCATTTGAGCATGGCATAAAGGTTACACGGTCTTTTGAAACTTTCCTCCCTGGTGCCGATTTCTCATCTTTATGCACCCACGTTGTGTTTGGCAAAACCCTCCAAAAAAGTGCGGATTCATCCGCATTGTAGACTTGCTCTTTAGTTAATTGCATTTTCTCAATCAGGGCTTGCAGTTTAAGTTGGAAAGGAGCAACTGCTTCAGCGTCACTTGAAACACGTTCTCCGCATACTTTTAAAAAACGAATGCCGCGTCTTGCCTTAAATTTGTCAAGCCATCCTGAACTAGCTTGAAAGTTAGTCTTTCCAGTGATGCACTCATAAAAAAATCTGGCTTTTGTGCGCAAGACTTCACTAGAACAGGAATGTGATTTTTACGTTGCTGTAGAAACCAAGTGTATAACGCCTCTTCCACATCAGGATTCTCGGGCTTTTTCATAACTTTTCTCTGGCCTAAAAAACATTACATATCTTTAGTGCAAACTCAAAACCCAGCATTTATTCATAAAACTTACCTATATCAGTGTACGACCTTGCAACAAAATTTCGAATCTTCACTCTGTTCTTCTTTATATCGGATACTGTTGATTTTGGTATCTTGAGAAGTTTCGCAACATGCTGAACACCACCACCTGCATCTAAACTGTCAAGAATTTTACACTTCTCTTTAATAGTAGCAGAGCAATGGACGCGTTTCGTTGGAGTCATTTTTTACACGTGGTCTAACACTCGGCGCCAAATAAATACTACG